TTGAGAGTTTCCCAGAGGGCTTACATCATCCTTTTGTCCCTTTGTAGCTATTTAATTTCAATGTGTGACCAAAATGTCTTTCCTTCTTCCTTTAAAACATTTTTTTTGAAATTGTGGTTCAAAACGTAAAATTTGCCCTTTTAACCATTTTTAAGTGTACAGTTCAATGTTAAATATATCCACATTCTTGTGCAACAAATCTTGAGAACTCTGTCATCTTACAAAACTGAGATACTGTACTCGTTGAGAAATGACTCATTTCTCCATCCCCAGCCACCAGTGCTTCCTTATTCTTTAAGTTGAAATTGTATATATTACTTTTTTTCTCTTGGGTTAAGTAATTTACCAAAAGGTACAGAAATAGTACATAGGAGTTTCCACTACATCATGCAGCCTCCTAGAGGACACAGCTAGGACGAGTCAAAGTAGGGTAGAACTCTGTCAGGCCTAACAGACGAGCCCATCGCTTCCTTCTCCTTTGAGCCCCCCAGCAGTTGTGGTTGATGTGTTTTTCCAAGGTAAATAGCATCTGCCCTGCCCAAAAGGGGTGTCAGGGACCTTTCTTAGTTGCCTTCCTGGGTGGTTTACTGAACTCCGCAGTCAGGCTGTTCTTTGGTGCCCTGGTTTGTTCCTGAGTCACCAGGCTTTGGCTTCATACTGTGTGTGTTTGCCCAAGGAAGTAGAACGGAACCTCCAGGATGCCATGCGAGTGTGCCGCAACGTTCTCCTGGACCCTCAGCTGGTACCAGGCGGTGGGGCCTCCGAGATGGCTGTGGCCCATGCCTTGACAGAGAAATCCAAGGCCATGACTGGTGTGGAGCAGTGGCCATACCGGGCTGTGGCCCAGGCCCTAGAAGTCATTCCTCGTACCCTTATCCAGAACTGTGGGGCCAGCACCATCCGCCTTCTTACTTCCCTTCGGGTGAGTTCCTTTCCATGCTGTTCTCTTGGCGAGGTAGGGGAAAGTTGTGTTTCACCTAAGAGGGTAGTTCACAACCGTCTATTCAGGTTCTCTTCTCTTAATTACTAACTTGTTTTCTGCCATTGCTATTTCCTATCTGTTCCTTTATCAACCCAGTATATTTGGTTTAGTTTCTTAATTTTCCCTGCCAGCATACTTCTTCCTAATACTTTTCCCTTTATTTATGTTCCAACCACAGGCCAAGCACACCCAGGAGAACTGTGAGACCTGGGGTGTAAATGGCGAAACAGGTACTTTGGTGGACATGAAAGAACTGGGCATCTGGGAGCCACTGGCCGTGAAACTGCAAACATATAAGACAGCAGTGGAGGTAAGGCCCCCAAAACATAAGCCCTGCTGTTGGTTTCCGTGTAATCAGAAACTGGCATGTTTGGTCCAGTTTTGAAGGGAGGGCGTATGAAGACGAGCAGCTGCCAAGGAATCCCATCCCCGTACTTGGCTTTCTCTGAGCTCCTGTGGAAGCACTGCTGCACAATGCGAGCTGCGCCTCTTGCTGACGGAGAACTGCATTTTACACGGAGGCTCTGAAAGGGCGGTTTCAGATAAAGTGGCGATGGTGTAGGAGGAGCCCCATGGTATGTCTGAAAGAAAACAAGTGTCCTTCCCTTCTCTGCTGACCTTTTTGGGACTGTTTTTCTCCTAGACGGCAGTTCTGCTCCTGCGGATTGATGACATCGTATCAGGCCACAAAAAGAAGGGTGATGACCAGGTCCGGCAAGGTGGGGCTCCTGAGGCTGGCCAGGAGTGAGTGATGGGCAGGGCGCACGGAGCCAGCGAAGCCTCCCCCTCCCTGTGCCAGACCGCCAGGGACACTGGATGTCTTTGTTTGGAAGGGATCAGGTTGAGGGGCAGCCCCAGTCCCTTTCTGTCCCAGTTCGGTTTGCAAAAGGCACTGACATGTCATTCTTTTCCATTGTAAGCTTTCCATTTAGTTCGCTTCCGATGATTAAATCTAAGTCATTTGAGACAGTGTTCTGTGTTTTTCAACCTTGGGTTATATCTCTGCATCCTGGCAGAGGGGGGAGGCAGAAGATTTATTGGGGAGGAAGGGAGATGAGAATGAGGTCATTAGTGCCTTTGCCTTCTCGAAGAGGTGTTTTTACACTTCTCAGTAGATGCTGATCAGGAAGGCTCCTCTGGGGTTCATAGGGAATGATACTGTAACGCTTTAAAGAAGCACCACTTTGCCTTCAGCACCCAAAGAACAGGAGGAACCTGTCCAAACCATGGGTGTTGCCATCTGTGGTTGTGTGAAGAGCAACACCCAATACGTGCTACAGCTTGACATTTGTCCTACAGACCATAGAACGTTTTTTGTATTATATTGTGTAACTTTGATAATCCTCCCTAACTTAACCTGAAATTACTCTTCTCTGCCCTCCGCCAGTGTTTGGTTCCTGTCTATACTGGCTTACTGGTTTATTTTCCTGCTAGCAGAAACAGGATTAACCTCATGTTGTGCTTTGTTTTTATCAAGGGGGAAAAACTTAAGTAATGACTCTGGGTTGCCGGATGCTAGGTATGGGGCTAGCCTTTGGTTTCTTCACTTTCCTTCCTTTTGGCTACTGGAGCTTCCACTGACCTCTTTGTTTTTTGTTTGTTTGTTTGACCTCTTTGTTTTTATGACTTATATAATCCATTTTCATAAATTCTTCCTGGCCAAAGGACTTAGTCATATTAAATTGAATACTAGGTAGAAATAATAAAAGCACGTAGGGCTTACTGTGTAATGGAAATGTTCTGGTCACTTTGCATGTATTACCAGTCCTCACCAAAATGCTGTAAGATAGGTAATACCCCCATTTTATGATGGGGATTCTAAAGCACAGGTGAAGTAGTAGCGTATCCAAGGGCTGCAAAGCTGGCACAGTGACAGACCTGGAATTCCTATGTAGACTCTGAAGCCTGACTCTAGAAGCCATGCTTCTACAGCTGGCTCTGCTGACTGAACTGGGGTCTGTGGGGTAGAAATGGCTTGTGAGTAGGCCTCTGGGGACTGCTCTGTTCATACCTGGTATTTAGCTCTTGCTTAGCACAGTCTAAAGCCCTCAGCTTTTCTACTACAAGGAGCTCGGAAATAAGCCTACCTAGCATTTACTGAAATCCCTGCCTATTTACTTGCAGTGTTAATGTTTCCGTTAGAGCCTAAGGGAAAGATAATGGGCTAATCCTCAATAAATAAAAATCTTGAAGAGAAAGTGCTTGTAAGACTTGAGAAATTATGGAGGGAAAAAGCTATTCACACCCTGTGGATTCTTTCCCCTCATTTGTTCTTTACTGTCCTAGGTCCAGCATGATAAATCAGTCTGTGCTCTTCAGTGTAGCTTTCAAGGCCCCTCTGCCGTCCAGAGGTAAATTGAGCCTAGTGATTGAAGGCTACGCAAGTCACTTTTTCTGTTGCCTTGCGTGAGCCCTACTGGCTCAACTTCATGACTCCTTGAACATAATTTGACACATCTATGACCGTAGGACAGACCATGAGCAAAGTCAAATGTCTTGTTTCAGACAAATGCTATTTTTTCTCCCCAGAAAGCAGTATTTTGGAGGATGGTAAGAAGGCTTGAAGGCCTGACCCCTCAAGCCCTCCCTACTCAGCCAAGACTCTTACTTTTATTCTCCTTTATCATGTCCCAGAATTGATACCTCAGAGGATACAATTACTTTCTTTCTCAAGAAGAATGAAAGTTTTGAGGAAACATAGTCATTGGGAAAAAAATGAAATTGGATCCCTACTTCATTTATTACAGCAAAATTCCAGGCAGCTGAGAAATTTAAATGGAAGAAAGTGAAACCATAAGAGTACTAGAAGGAAACATGAGATTTAAAAATAATAGTTACCATAGGTGGGGGGGGATAAACTACATTAAAAAATTGTAAGGCAAAAAGGGCCAAGTGGAATGAGGAAGTCCGCAACAATATAAGAGTTAATTTCCTTAACTTTTAGAACTTGTCAGTCAAGACAGGGCCAATAGAAAAATAGGCAGAGGGTGTATTTCTAGAGAAGCAAAAAGAAATGGCTACAAAACATGAGATGCATTCAAAACCATAGGGGAATGCAAACTAAGTTTGGTAAACACTTCCCAAGGATGTGGAGAAATTGGTCGTCCAAAAGCGCTGTGGTATCAGTTGACAGACCTCATACAGAGGTCAATTTGACCTGACAGTTGTGCTTTCGGGTATTTGTCCTGTGGATTTGGTTACAAACGTATATGAAATGCTATACATACAGGGATACTCTTTTCATCGTTTGCCATAGCAGAGGTCATTGGGGTTCTGGCTAAATGTATCTATGGAATCATCCCCCTGCCCTGAAATACTTCTGTGGAGATTATGTGTGGTATCACATGCAGGTGTATAATATGTATTACACGAGAATGCAAAGAATATCTTTGGGAGGACGCCTAAGCTGGAAATAGTTTGTCTCAGAAAAACCCAGGTTATTGGGGAATGGGGGTGATACCCTTTGGCACCTTAGGAATTTTGTGTCATATGCAATTATTGGTCAAAATACTTTCTAAGATTAAGCAAAAAAAAGAAACACCCCCATGAAAAGGTGTGTTAACTAGAGAAGAACTCCCTCTTGACAAATACACATTCTCATATTCTGCTTACTGAGGTATCTTCACCACAACAAATTTGAGCTCTTTGAGGACAAGAAACTATACACCTGGGCGCTCAATAAATACTAATGATTGACAAAACCCTCCAGGGTGCACTATTCAAATTCCTCTCTGTGCCTTCCCTACCACAGAGTCATTGGGGTCCCATTTACATCCTGCATCTAGACAGCATACTCACTCAGAGGTAACTGTTCAGTGAGACCAGTTGGGCGGGAGCGGTTGGGAGTAGGTCTGCATCTAGTCCGGGATGGCTGGCTTGCCAGCCTCCCTGGGGATGGTGAACTAACCTGGACGTATTTTCACTGAAGCCTAAATACGGGTTAAGTGAGGCGGTCGTTTTAAGAACTGGGGTGGTGGCCCCGCCCTTTAAAAAGATCAGCTGAATCGGAGTCACATGACTGCAGTCCCTTCCGCCCTCCGAAGTTCGGTCCGCATGTGCGGCAGTGAGGAGCCCTGCTGGGGGCTCAGTGCCCCCGGCCCCACGCTCCTTCTGAGTCTGCTGCTGTCTGCCGCCCCGTCTGGCTTGCTGGGGGAGGAGACTCGCCAGGTGAGGGGCTACAGCAATAGATGTTTCAGGAAATGGAACACTTGAAGGGTGGTTGGCATCTAGGGCAACCAAGAAGTGGGGGTGAGGGTTGGTGTTCTTAAACCTGAGGGTGGGGCCAGCCATGGGTCATGGAGCAGGATTGTGGAGTAGGACGGGTGTGAGGGCTTCCTGTCTTCTGGTGAAATCTGGACCTGACTCAGACCTGAGGGACCCGGGTCCAGGCAAGTGTTGGACCCACTTCTGCCCCTTACACCAGGATTCCCTTAGATCCCACACCCATTCCTTTTACGTAGAACCCCAAGGTCCCAACCTTTCCCCATCATTCCCCAGCTTCCTCCCCTCCCTCCAAGCTCCTTTGCCCTTCCCAGATCTTGTTCTTAACCCCCCACTACTCCATGTTCCAGGTGTCTTTGGAAGTCAGCCCTGACTGGCCGGTACCCCACCTGCTTCATATCCGAGCAGTGGGTACCAACTCCACGCTGCACTACGTGTGGAGCAGCTTGGGGCCTCCAGCAGTGCTACTGGTGGCCACCAACACCCCCAACAGCACCCTGAGTATCGACTGGGTCCGCCTTCTCTCTTCTGAGCCTGATGGGGGCCTGATGGTGCTTCCCAAGGACAGCATCCAGTTTTCTTCTGCCCTTGTCTTTACCAGGGTGAGGAGGTTGGGGGAGGACGAAGGGGTAGGGCACAGAGAAGAGGGTTCATCCTAATTGGAGGAACTGGAGACTGGGGGTGGGCGAAGTAGTCAGGGAGTGGAGCCCAGGCGTGGGGGGGCCAGTGAAAGGGGATGGGGATTTGGAAGAAAGCTGGACTCCGGCAAACCAGTTCCCTCCCCCCCACCCTTCCAAGCTGTTTGAATTCGACAGCACCAACACTTCGGACACAGCAGAAAAACCTCCAGGAAAACCGTATACCCCGTATTCCTTGGCCAACTTCTCCTGGAGCAACATCACTGACTCATTGGATCCTGCCACCCTGAGTGCCACATTTCAAGGCCACCCCACTCATGACCCCACCAGGGCTTTTGCCAATGGTAGCCTAGCTCTCAGGGTAAGAGAGTGGGGAATCAGAAAAACTCAAATGGCTGGTTTCTGAGGGTGGGAGTTAATGGTCGGGGGGCGTCAAGCACAGGCAGGCGCCTGCTTCCCACCCTCCCACGCCTCCTCCATCCTAGGTGCAGGCCTTCTCCAGAACCAGTCGGCCAGCCCAACCCCCTCGCCTCCTGCACACAGCAGACACCTGCCAGCTCGAGGTGGCCCTGGTTGGGGCCTCTCCCCGGGGAAACGGCTCCCTGTTTGGGCTGGAGGTAGCCACCGTGGGCCAGGGCCCCGACTGTCCCTCCGCCCAGAAGCGGTACTCCATCGATGATGAATACACACCTGCCATCTTCCAGGTCAGTCTTCCAGCTGAGAGACAGGTGGGTGGGAAAAGTCGGGGGAGCCTGTTAGGACCTCAGAGAGTCATTCATATACCACTTAGCAACACTGTACTGGGCTCCTTTAAGTGTTGGACACCATACTAATGAATTTGACCCAGTCCCTGCCCTCAGTGGAGAAGACACAACAGAAGAGGGTGCAGTGTGACTGGTACTCTGACAAGTGGGATCTCCAAGGGCCCAGGGGCTCAGAGGAAGAGCTGAGTGCAGGCTTGCAGAGTGTCAGGGCTGGAAAAGGCCTCAGGGTTCAGCCAGCCCAACTCCCCTTTCTACAGAGATTGAAGCCCTGGTGCAAACAGCCTGTGAGTTCTAGAACCAGTCCTAGGCCTTGGGACTGGTGACAGGTGGAGGCTGGGAAAAGATGGGGAACTGGAAGGGAGGGGCACAGTGTGGGTCCTCTCACCCTGCTGGTTTGCCTTTCTCCCCAGATGGACCAGCTGTTATGGGGTCCCCTACCATCAGGCTTTGCGCAGTGGCGACCAGTGGCTTTCTCCCAGAAGCAGGGGGGCCGAGACTCAGCCATGCACTGCCAAGCTTCCCCACTTTACCCCACCTTGGCCTACCTTCTCCCCAAGTCGCCCATTATCCAAGGCTTCTTTGGGTCTCGGAACAACTTCTGTGTCTTCAATCTGACATTTGGGGCTTCCACAGGCCCTGGCTACTGGGACCAACAGTACCTCAGCTGGTGAGAGACGGCCTGGGCTAAGGGCTTGGGAGACTGACGTGGAGGAGGAATGGGCCTCGCAGCCATCCCTCCTGAACCTGCTTTCCTCCTTCTTACTCTGCTTGCCCTAGGTCGATGGTCCTGGGTATGGGCAGCCCTCCAGTGGATGCCTTGTCCCCGTTAGTCCTAAGCATCATGGTGGTGGCTTTGGGGGCCCCAGGGCTCATGATGCTGGCAGGAGGCCTGTTTCTCCTGCTGGGTCACAAGCGGCACTCAGAATACCAGCCTATAAATTGAGGCCCACTCTCCAGAGGGAAGGACATTACTGATCCCACCTTGCTGGTCTGAAGGTTTGAAGATCAACATTCCCAGCCAGTGGCTCCCTTCTCCCATCTTGCTTTTCTACAGAAACTCAGAGGCCACCCTCTACTTCCTGGGGACCCCCAGGTGAGGCTTCCTTCGTGCTCTGGAGAGTAACCAGGGACAGGGTGGTTGCTAGAGGGAGGGTCCCCTGGTTGCCTCCCTGCCCCTCTACCATCCCTTTCCTTTGAATGGGACTCACAAACCTAAATAAGAGGACTTCTGGCTCGGCTGCCCTGGAGGGTATGAAATAGACTCATTTTTTTTCCCACAGGGCTTGTCCTTCAGTGTGTAAGTTTTGTTGAGCTGGTTTGGGGCTGGTACCAGGGAATGGGAAGGCTAAGAGGTGGGCATGGAAGGCAAGTTTCTTTCAAGGCCCCATTTCCTCACCAGGAATAGTTCTCTCCCTTGCCATGGGACCAGGCTCCTGCCAGCCTCTCTCCATCATGTGCTGCTGGGAGGTATCCAGTGCCATCTGAGTCAGACAGGAAGGGACACTTGAGACTGGGGGGCAAACATGAAGAAAGAGCCAAGAAGACTGGAAGTCGTTTATTGTTATACACATACGCACATTCACACATTCACACGGGGTTGGCGTCAGCCACTGTGCCTTCCACCTGCCCCCCAGCACACAAGCACACACCCTTCTTGGGAGGCAGGTTCCCTCTTCCTATGGGAGAGGCCCTACTACTGGGCAGTTCGGAGGTGGGAAATGACAGGAGCCTGAATGGGTTGGCAGGGAGGAGGCAGCATTGCTGGCTGGGGCAACTGGAATCGTTTTGGCAGAAGCTAAAGGGCCTATGAGGGCCCAGTCATACGGTCCTCAACCCAAAGCCCCAGGAAGGTTTTCACCAAGTGTGGAAGTCCTTTCTGAGCTGATGCCCAGCCTTTAGGCAAGGGCAGTATTTCCAGTTTCCTTGAGGCCCTCTGCTTAGACAGCTGGCACAGAAATGGTCCTTTGGGGCTATGGCTCTACTGCTGCCTTACAGGAGGTTGATGAGAGGAGCAGAGTCTGGCCCTGGTGGGCCCTAGTGGCAGCCATGGGAGGCTGCTCAGGGAGGAGCCGTGCCTCTGGTTCTGGCCCTGCGCCCTCAGGGTCCTTAAGGGACCTGGCGGTCCATCTCTTTCCCTACAAGAAAATGATCTAAGTCCCTACCCCATGACTGTCCCATGCCTCCAGAGGTGAAGGGCAGAGCCAACTGGGGGAAGAGCAAGGGACAGTCCAGGCACTGATTGGATGGGACCCCTGTCGAGCCAGTAGCAGGGCTTTCCCCACCAAGGCCCCAGGGCTCAGGGCAAGTGGGCAGAGCGGCTCAGCCCCATGGGCGGGGCCTGTAGTCCGAGGCGGAGCGGGCGTGGTCGGGGTAGTCCAGGCGGCTCTCTGCAGTGAGCATGCGCTCAGGCTCCACCACGAACATGTAGTAGAGGTTCCACACCAGCATGGACAGCAGGGGCAGGAATGTTAGACCATAGCCGAAGCCTCGGAATGAGCGGCCCACGGCGAAGGTCAGCCAGTATATCAGCCTGAGGGGTGGGGAAGGGCGGGCAAGAAAAGGTCAGCCTAGCAACACAGGCTGATGGTGGGGAGAACAGTGAGACAGCCAGATGTGGGGTGGTGGGTACGCCTGGTTATTTCCCAAAACAGCCAGTGCCTCTGCATTTACTCTGTGCCAGGCATGGGTCTGATTACTTTAAGGCACTATTTAGACTTCCTCACATCTCTGTGATGTGAGTACATTATTCCTCTTTGTTTAAGATTTTAACTAAAAATTTTAGAGTAAGAAATACATGTTCACATGGTTCAAAATTCAAAGGTGCCAATGAGTACAGTAAAATGTATTCCCTTCCTTTACTTTTACCAGCCACGCTTTTCTTTCCCTCACCTCCCTACCTTTACTCCTCTCCTGCCCCAGACATCCAACATTATTGTGCATTGAGTGATGTTTTACGTATATGTGAGAAAAAAGATTGTCTTCCATTTCCTTCCTCCTTTGAAGTTTGGTAGCACACCATCTAGACTGCCTGCACATTGACTTTTTTCCATTTAATGTACCTTGGAGATTATGTTATATAGAGTATATAAACAGCTTCCTCGTTCTTTTACAGCTACAGTACATTCTGTTGTATTTATTTCTCCTTTTGCAGATGAAGAAACTAAGACTCCAGAGGGGTTAAGTAAGACCGGTCCAAGGTCACACATTGGGGAAATAGTAAAATTGTGACTTGAACCCAAGCCTGTTTGTTAGCTCCCTCTCCTGCCATTTTCGAGGGGCAGAGGGAAAAAAAGAGAGCAAGGAAGCCAGCTTCAAAAGGACTTGAAGCCCAGAGAGACGGATCAACCACACCAAATTTCCCCTCTTGGAAGATCCACTCAAAATACACACACCTCAGTGGAGGGGGGCAGCAGCTTCCTCTTAATATATGAAAGACTACTTATTATGAAATTGACGTGCCTTTACTTTTTTTGCCCATGAAATAGAGGAAAAAGTGCTGCTCCTCTACTGCCCAGGAGGCAGCCTGGCATAATAATAAAAGTTCACAGATAGTGAAGCCTTACCAAGTACCAGACTGTTAAAGCACACTACATGAATTAACTCATTCCATTCTCACAACAACTCCTATTTATAGATGATAAAACTAAAACTGAGGCCTAAGGACCCTGGATTCTAGTCCTGCCACTGCTGTTGACTGACCTGAGCAACTTGTCTCCCCCAGTCTGTTGTGATTTCCTCTCTGTCAAATGGGTAAGACAGACTAGACAGACGCCGAGTCTTCCTTTAGCTCCCTGATCATTCTTACTGCTTAAGCCAACTTTCCGCTGAGATCAGCATTCCCAGAGTGGGGAATGGGAGGTTGAGTCACGTGAACAGAAACATGCTTATCTTGGGAATCGTCTACTGAAAGAAAATGCAAGGCTGTGTGATGGTCAGGAGGCTGGTGGGACAGATGACTGATAGACTACAATCAGAAGCAACAGGAAGACAGATCTTAGCTCAACAGGAAGACTGTTTTAACACTTAAATCTACCTGGAAGCCTATATCGAAAGTAACAAAAGGAAATGTATTAGAAAAAAAATGAAAAGACTGCATTTGGAGTAGAAATTCAAAGGTGCTTCTGGGTTAGTGTTCACATGAAACTATCCCTAAGGATTTCAGGTGATTTCTAAATGGAAGGAGAGTAATGAGACTGCCGTAATTGACTGTATGAACAGAAGGACGATACTCTTGACCATGGTCTCCCAACCTCCATTGACACTCAGGAGCATTTCCTGCCCAGAAGGAAGGAGCAAGGACAATGAAGGGAGCAGAACCATTTGGCAAAGTGGACATGAGGAGCAGGGTGTTGGCGTGGGGAACTGAGACCTGTTGTCAAGTATCTGGATTTGACCTCTGCAAGTGCAGAGGTCAGTCAGGTTAGCAGTTTTTAGTGCCATATAAAGAACTTTGTAAAACTTACTACCTTTGAAAAATGAAACAGACTGCCTGATAAAGAATTGAGTGCTGGTCCCAGGGGTGTTCAGCTAGAGGCCAGTGGCCACCTGACCAGAGTGTCACATGAGTAGCTGCGGTGGGTGAGAGGTTGGTCTAGATGACACCTGGAAACCCCTCCAGTTCTAGGGTGGTATGTGTGTTTCTGAAATGAGCTTCCTCTGGGAAGACATACAGCTGATCCCCTGCTACCAAGTGAGATAAGGTCCAAAGGAGAAAGTGGATCCACCTCTCCAGTGTGCACATTTGGGCTATTACAGAATCCAGAAAGTTCCCTGGCCGTGTCTCTCCAAACAAGATGCCTGGGTCCTTCTAGCACCATCACCTCCCCCATGCCCCACCCCAGCCCCAACTCACCGGGAGATGGCAAAGAGACCAGTGAGCAGAGGGAGCAGTTTGAGGGTCTCTTGGGGCAGGTAGGTGGAGAGCACAGCCAGATTGAAGAAGTAGAGGATGAAGAGCTGGACTGACTGGGCCACATATCTCCGGTGGATCTCCACCTCCCGCCGTGGCTCCCCAAAGGGCCGTAGGGCAGAAAAGCACAACAGGCTCAGCCCGTACACCAGCAACCCTGGGTGGGATGGAGAACAGACAGGGTCAGATGGGAGCAGCAGGCAGGCATCCAGGGCAGGATTCGCAGTGCAGAGTTCATGGGCATGGGCAGAGGGGCTGAGGCGGTGCTGGGAGGAGATGGGCCCACAGTGGAGCAGGTGGCAGGGTGTGGGAGGCCCTGAGGGGTCCTAGCAGAGTGAAGGGAAACTGCTCCCCAAGACCGGTTCCCAGTTGCCCCCTTCCTTCTCACAGGGCCCAGACTTACCCAGTATGATGGGGAAGGTGGCAAAGACCCCGCAGCGCAGGGTGTACACGAGGCGGGAACTCATGGTAGGCAGCCGTGGGGCATCGAAGGGCAGGAAGGCATACGCTCCATACAGCAGGCAGGGGAAGAGGATGAGGGCGGCTCCCACCGAGGCCACGGCCCTCAGCACCTCTCGGCCTCCGCAGCTCCCGCAGCCCCCACAGACGCGACTAGGCGGCTTCACCACTGCCTCGGCCCACTTGCACTCAGGGGGCTCAGGGTGGGTGGCCCGAGTGGGCAGGCAGATCCGGCGGCGCTGGCGCTCAGACCCACCTGCTTCACAACGCACAGCCAGGTTCTCCTGTGGCCGCCGCTCAATGCACTGTAGGTCGATGGGCACGAAGGCCCTCATCGCTTTCTCAGGCAGCAGGTTGGCATCGTCTTCAGGCAACTCTTCAAGCTTGGTGGGCGGCCCTGCCCTGAGGGGCTCAGGCTCAACGTCCCGCCATCCAGGGGGATCTGGGAATGGGGCACTGGGCTGGGGGCCAGTCCCCCAGGGCAAGGTGGCAGCCTCGCTTACTGTGCTGTCTAGACCATCCTCAGCCCCCTTTCCAGCTGTGGGAGACCCAGATGTAGACCCCACTCTGGAGGGCTCAGCTCCCAAGGGCTCGGCCCCACCTTCCCCTTCTGGCTGCTGGCCATTGGCGACCAAGACCGGGGGTGGGTTCTTCTCCAGGGCCTCTGGCCCCTTCACTTCCAGCAGGGCCAGGGTCTCAGGTTCTGTCATCCTGGGGCCTCAGTTCTGGGTCTGCTGTGAAGTCATGTCACCCTGGAGGAAGCAGAGGAAAGCTCTGTCAGAAGCTCCTGTCCTCGGACCCTTAGGACAGGCTGACAGAACTGGAACTCTCCAGGATAACCACTTCTTGGACTTTAGCCCCTTCCAGGACCCTAGGGAGAACACAGTATGGAGGAAGGTATTGAAACCAAGGGAGGCAGGCGAGAAGTGAGTAGCTGAAACGGAGGCACCCTTTCGACATGAAATGCCATCTAGCAGGAGAGGGTGAGTCAGGGGACACAGGCCACGGAAGCTGCGGCCTCAGCCAGCCCCCACCCACGCCTTCTACCCACCTCCGCCAAAACCCCTGGGGCCATGGCCACCCTAGTGCAGGAATGGGAGGAAAAGAAGGTATCTAGAACTTTACCAAGAGTTCCCTTCCTACCGTGGATCTCCCTGTGGGCAGAGGAACTGCCGCTTCACCTTCCAACCTCCCCTTTTCGCCACAGATCCCTGCTTGGAACTCTACTGGCAACTGATCCCAGGGATTTGCCAATAAATTCCAAAGAACAGGCTGTAGCAGTGCAAACTGGTCTTTTGTCTCCAATCTGGGTACTTGGGCAGTTTCCAAACTTCTCACTAGACCACCTCTTGCATCTCCGGAGTGCCTAGGTCTGTCCATTCTGACTTCTAGGTATAATCATGGCTGTTTCCCATGCCTCTGTCCTCCTTCCCCTCCCTTCCGTCCTCCTTCACACTTCTGGATGGTGCTGGTTCCCTGCCCTCCACCTCCTGGAGGGCCTCCTACCCCTTGCCATTTGGACCCATGACACCCTCTTACTTTCCATCTGGAGATAGGTGGATGGTCCCCTGCATCTGGGAAGGAGCTGCCCAGCTCCCTGCTGGCTCTGCAAGTATTCCTTTCAGTCTCCCTCCCTTTACCTGGCTTTCCAAACCTGTCTGACCAGAGCAGGTGGGGCCCAAATTAAAGGGGCAGGCCCTGCCCTGCTGAATCTGCAGACAGAAAAAGCATTAGAGGAGGATGTGTCATCCTTTCTGAAAACGGGGGGTGCAGCTGGGCACAGAGGTAAGTGTGTGTTCTAGACACATGGGATGTGTAGGAGCTCCCAGTTCAGGAAAGCAGAGACGTAGGAGTGCGTTTGGGTGCTTGGAGTGGGTTGGGATACCCAGAAAATCAAGGGAAATTTCTACATTTATTCAATATTCATTGAGCACCTGTTATTAGCTAGGCATTATTCTAGGCACAGACAGACATAGAGAACAAGATGACAGGTAAAGTCTCTACCCTTGAGGAGCTTGTTGTATTGGGGTAACAGATAATAAAGAAGCCTAGCAACTAAATCAATTAGGATAATTTCAGTAGGGAAAAACCTCTTTGCCAAGGTGACATCTGAGCTGAGACTTGATAGGAAATCAGGAGTATGAGTGTTCCAGGCAGAGGAACAGCAAGTGAAAGGCCAACGATGGGAAGGACTTAGGTTGTTTCAGGAACAGATAGGTGGGTGGCTGGAGCCAGGAGCATTGTGGTGGAAGGGGAATTTATGTTGCTATTACAATGTGTAGACAGCTCCCCCAACCCCACCAAGAAAAAAAAAATACCTTGCTTTTTACCTTAGGTTTAAGGTTAAGAAAGCTATGGGAATCCAAGGTGTCTTTCCAATGGGAGGCCCAGAGGGCAGAAATGTGAGGGACTGATTTCTCATTCCTGTGGGACCTTACTCCTAAAGTCATTTGAGCTTTGTGAGGGCAGGGACAGTGTCTGCTTGGCTTATCTCTGTCTCCAGAACCCAGCATTGTGGCTGGAAGACAGCAGGTGTTTAATAAATATTTGCTGGACTGATGAGATGGATGTGCAAATGAAATTTTTTGGGAGGGGCTGCTGAAGGGCAGAGGCGCTCATACAAGGGTCACATCTTGGAGGGCTTTACTCATCTTAAGCCCTTTCCATGTAAACTCTTACGTACATTTTTTTGTTTGTTTAAATAATGGAAACAAACTGGAATCACTCTAGTAATATGAAAGAGACGGCTCAGACTGGGGGAAGGGGGAAGGGGTAGAAGGATGGCCCGAATGACCACTGCATGACGAAGCTGTCAGGCTCCAGGCTGTGCGCCCATCTGCCCTATCCATATTAGCTGCAGCCGCCACGGGTCCACTGTTCGTTCTCTGGCAGCTTTGTCAATAAAGTTTTTCGCACTGGCTTAGAGAAGCCGGAAAGTGGCCATGCTGCCCAGAGTTAGTTCTGGCAACTTCCTGGGAGGGAAAAAGTTTCGCGAGATTTGGTGGCAGCAGGCCACTGGCCCGCAATTGTTCAGCTGCTATCGCGAGGTTTGGCAGGCGGAGGAGGAGCTGTCGCGGGCAGCCGCCTCACAGCGATGGCGGCCGACCAGGGCCGGCAGAGGTGGCAGCTGCAGCTCCGGCCCGAGACTGCAGTGGCAGCTGTAGCGGTGGGTGGCGGGGGCCTGTGACCGGGACCTGCCCCCGGATCCGAGCACCATGAGCCAAGGCCCCCCCACAGGGGAGAGCAGCGAGCCCGAAGCAAAGGTCCTCCACACTAAGCGGCTTTACCGGTGAGAGGGGTCCGGGCGTGAGTGCAGCCGCCCAGGGAAGTGGGGGGACAGCGAGGGGCGGGGCCTCCCGGGCGGGCGGGGCCCGGGCGCTGGGCTGGGGAGCGGGCGGGGGAGGAGGGTGCAATTTTGGAGGAGGGGAGGCGGGGCCCGGTAACCTGGGATGGAGCGGGAAGGAATTGGGTGGGTGGGAGGTTTGGAGGGAACCCGCACGTGGAGGAATCCCCTCCGCGGTGAGCTTTGGGCGGGCACGTAGCTTTGCGGATTTGGGTAAGAAGGTGGGAAGTGGAGACTGGAAGGGTTGGGAAGGTGAGGGTGGGGTCACGGATGGAGGAAAAACCCGGAAGGGAAGTGCTTAGAACCCCGTCGGATTTACAGGGAAGAGCCCTTGGACTGAAATCAGGAGAGCTGGGTTCAGGTGCTTTCTTTGCTACTCCCTCACTGTGTAACCTTGGGCCTCAGTTTCCTCACTTTAAAAGGAGAGCTTTGGATTGGATATGCTGCGAAGGCCCTTATGGCTCTCATTTTTGGGAATCTGAATGAGAAAAGAGGCCAGAGGACTAGTTGTATTGGACTGGAAGGACCATGAAAGACTTTGAGGCCAGATGTTGTTAGGTCATGGGATCCCCTTTCAGGGCACCTGGGGACTCCTGAGCCCTGCCTTCCTCCCAGCCTCACGATTATAGTCTCCTGTTGGGTAACTTTCGTTTCTGGTTTTTAACTTCCAGTGCCACACACTCTGTTCAAGACACATTTTCAACCCTCTATTGGGAACGGGCCAGTACCAGCTCCTCACCCTGGGTCAAGGATTTTGGGTGAGGGGCAACTGGAACATGGGCTCTAGAACTGGATCAGAATGGGATGAAGCCTAGCGACGAAGTTGAGCGTGCTGCTTTCTAGTAGGGAGTAGAGTTTGGGGTCTTCATTCAGCTCAGGCTCTGTAGAACAAGAGCGTTTGCATGAGCAGACTACCCTCAGAGCAGTGGACCCCATCTCAGCAACGAAAGAGTCAAAAGCATGTTGTCTTTCCCTCCCCTGAATAGGCATCCTGCCTGCTCTGGCTTCCTAAGCCAGAAGGCAGAGGGGGGGTAGAGGCTGCTCCAAAAATAGAAAAGTGATCCAATCCAGCAGCCCTGTGCTCCCACTGTGGGCTGCCCCAAACAGTGTCTGGGCGGGTGAGGCGTTCACTGGAGGTGGCACGTGTCCCTTGTCACGCTGCCGAGTGTCAGTGCTGCCTGTCAGCGCGTGGGCAGTGTGTGCAAGATGCCTAACTAGTCTCTAGCTTTTGGTAATGGCTTTGGTCATCCTTCTAGTCATTCTCAAATCTAGTTCTTTCTCAAGCCACTACCTTCACAGGACTGACGGAAGTTGATATGTTTTCATGTGTGGTTTACACGTGTGCACTTACACGGGTGTCTCTGCCTGTAATTGTGTGTTGCTGGCTTTCAGCAGGGTGGAAATTTGAGGCAGCAGATCGCTGTTTTTATTATTTATTATAGCAGTAGTGATTCGTTGAAGGAACTGGGAGAGGAAGGTCTCATTTCTTTGCCCATGATAAATGTGTTGTCTGTCACTCTGGACTTTAGCAAATTTGGGAAATCCCCACACTCTGTTTACAGCAATGAAATTCTGAAATGTTTTAAGCCCTCAGGAGAAAAGGCAGCAGGAGCTGGTATGTTGGAAGGGACGTAAGCACCAGTTAATTAGGCCAATTAACTATTTCTTAAAAACACTTTCCTTTTTTCACACTGCAGTAGGCCTGCAATTACAGTAGTGAATGAGACACAAGCCTAGTGTTTGTAGTTTTTGTTCTAAAGGAGATTAGAATTTAGTGGAGGAGCATATGGTCTGATGGAGAATGGAGAGAAAAGTGCTGAGAACCTGCAGGTTTAAGAGTTTGCAATTAGAATTTCTGGAGTAGTGGTGATAAACCTTGTTTGGATTGAGATTCTAAGGACAGGTATGGAGCCTGTCCATAAAAATACACACACACACACACACTTAGATCTGTCCATGGCACTGAAGCTAAAAGCCTTGTCCTGGGGACTAAGCGGAATAGAGTAAATCACTGATGGCTGCCTCATGCTGCCCCTGGCATCAAGGGGCCGGCTAGCTGAAAGGGCTTGTCTCCCATCTCTAAGCGCCCAGAAGGTGTTTGGAGAAATGCTGAGCTCTCAAGATTGCCTGTGAGAAGGCCTTGATCGCCATCCCACCCACTCAGCTGGGAGCTGGCGGCCTGCACAGGGCGGCTTTCAGTGTTGTACCACCTGAGCCGCCACAGGATGCTAGCCTGCTGTGACCCACTTTCCCCAGCCCGGGAGCACATGTTTCAGTAATCTGAATCTTGGATTGTTTTGGGAGTCATCATTCCCCACGTTTTGGTTGCTTTTGTATCCAGAGCTCTGCCTGATTCCCCTGTTCTCATAGCTGTTGCCTGTTGTCCTTTGGGTTTTACCCTTTCAGAGATGACACCTACCTCTGGCACTTTCTGACATCCATTCCAGTGTTTCCTTGGCCTTTTCTCTTAGTGCCTGGAGTCTCGAGCTTTATAACAAGAAGGATGGCGATTAGTACTTATTGAGCACTTACTATGCATGAGGCATTGTTAGTGTTTTATGTATTGGCTGATTTAATCCTCACAAAGTAGGTGATGGTATTGATGATTCCCATCTGATAGGTGGGAAAATGGAGACATAAGGAAGTTTAGTATTTTTCTCAGGACCAAATAGCTGGTAAGAAATAGAGCAAGAATTTGAACCCAGGCAGTCTGGTTCCAGTTAAAAAGAAAGTTCCTTCAGCAGACCCCAGGAGACCTGGCAACTTAGCAGCTCAGGAACCCTCTACTTTCCCATACCCCACTATTCCAAAACAGTTTTATATTCAGCATGCCTTTCCTCTGTGTCAGAGGCCACAAGCCTGTGCATAATAACCATTCACTCATTCCACCACCATTTACAAAGTGCCTACCATATTCCAGTTCTGTATATAAACTCTTCCACTTAATCCTCACACTAGTCCTCTGAGGTAGTTGCTGCTGTTGCCTCTGTTTTTACGATGTGGCAACTATGGCTTAAAGAGGCTAGGTAATTTGCCCAAAGTCACCGAGTTAGTAGGCCTGTCAGAGATCGAACCCTAGATTTTCTACCTGGTACCGCAGCCTGTGCTCTTTCC